TTCATGAATCACAGTTTTTAGTTGGCAAAATTAAAAAATCATCTTTTATAAATGTGTAATTAATGTAAGTAGATAAATCGCACCTGCACAGATAAGCATAAATATAAATTCAGTAGGAATGTGTGAAAAATGAAGAAGGATGTATAGAATTAAAGCATAAATCTCATGTTATTTCATAGAAAGCAAAAACGATAATGCTATATGGTAAACAAAAAAATAGCTTTGTCATTGTGTGTTGGTGTATCTAAAATTTACCTCGTTATATCAAAGTAACATATCTCATGTTAACTCAGATAATTATTACATACAGTTTAGCAGAACTAGTTTTACTTCTTGAATGCAAGATGGAATTTCTGGTTATCTGGAATATAACAATGCTATTTCATACCATGAACATATACCATATCACGACAACTCACTTAATTAATAAACCAAAGAGAATCTGTGAAAGCTGATTTTTGAGAATGACTCTGTGTCGACATTTCATGAAACCCTAGTTCAAAACTATCATTGGATTTACGCTATCAAAGGATGTGGTTTGGTGAAGTAGTTTGGAGCATATATGAGCTATGAATATTCCATGAATATCCAATGTTTCTATGATGTTTCTATATGCTACAGCAATTCTGTTATCAATATGACAATATTGACCTGATGGTCCTGTTGGATTCTTTGAATTTGGGTATTAAGAGATAAAGATCATTTTGCAGACAATTATCGAACATTTTTTAGTTTCTTAAACCCTGATAAGAGAAAGCCTTTAATTTTGAGAAGCATCAAGAAATAAACTTTAGCCTCCAAGATAGCGTGGCCTCAATCAGTTGACATTCTAGGAAGTAGTGCATTAGACTTTTAGCAAAGTAACTTATTAAAACTTTATAAAAGCTCCAACTGGTACGAGAAAGACTTTAGACTAATTAAGAAAGATAGAAATGACTTTAGTGAAATAATAGTGATAAAGAAAAATTATATCATTTGAAAATTTACCATCTTATCGGTCTTCTAAAATTTTTTTTACTTTGATCCTTGTTTTCTCCTTTTACTTCTAGGATTTATATATCATCTTATATACATGATGTTATACTTTAGCTTTGTGACTCTTCTAGAGCGTACTTCCATTCAAACTGTTGACCGGAAGCAAGACACTGCTTCAGAAACTTGTGGAAAAGCCTTTATGTACTGCCAAAGGAAGCTTGTCTCTTTGCTACTTCTGGAAAAGACCAGGTGACGTTTAAGTCTCTGAACTATTGACCCGAAACAAGAAAAATCTTTTATTTCATTATTCCCAAAAGAGCTTAAACTTTTAAAGAACATTCTCATGTAAACATTATTTTTTTTATTTTTTTTTTCTATCAAAAATCGACTTAGAAAATGTAGGTTTTAAAAAGTACTTAGATATTCTTTCAACTAATTTGACCTTTATCATTCTCTCCTAGTTTTCAACTGGTAAGCACTTTGAACTTAAATATTCTATTTGGTGGTTTGTTTGCGATTGAATTTAAATTTTATTGTAAAACTTAATCTATGAAGAGGAAATATTTAAAGCAGAAACGTCAATCGATCAAAGTTATTTTAGTTTCATATTGATATATTTTAGTATTGCTTTGAGGTTTTCTTCTAATATGTATTGATTCGTAATATTCCTTTTCTTTCATTTCGCATTTCTCCTTTTTTTCATTTTTATTGGTGCATTATGAAAGAAAATGATGATAGAATCGTGCAGACTCTGTAAAAAATAAATGACATGGTCAAAGTTTTGTCCTCATCATATTCAATGTCAGAATTGTCGTATCTTATTTATTTTCTTCATGTTGATTTTCTTTTTAATAATAAATATTTCATATTGCATCACATGATCATCCTTACTTCATGTATATTTACATCATCCATATACTTTATATTTAAAATTTCATTAATAACTAAAATCAACTTGTTTCCTATAATCGATACAGAAAATACCATAATGTATTAATTGTTGTAACTTCGTAAACTTTGATGCAACAGCAGAAAATTAAATCTGAGAACATAATTAAAACAAAATAAGATCATTTTACGCTTTCAAAACACTTTTGTACCCTCGATGTAAACACTAGTAAATAATCTAATAATAAAAAAGGCGTTCAATATCAGCACAACCCTCTTTCAATCGATGAATAATACTTGGTAATACTTAGACTAAACATTAAAAATAAATTTTATTATAATTGAAAGAGATGTTCAATAATAAATAGGTTTTCACTTGTTTGTTGAATAAAGCAACTCGTAAATAACTTTTATGCGTTGATAATACAATATGAAAAGGGGTGAATAGCGAGACAAGAGGCTATAGCGAGGAGGCTTCAGGATGTAGTCTATATGAGCATTTCCTCCAATGCATGGCTGGCGGTGTCTGACCAACACGAGAGCTCGAACTCGCACCCTATGACGTCCGTAATGCGGCACGAGTGAATGTACTTCTACCACTTCCTCTATCTATACCTCTGGACACTGTCTACAACTGTTTCTGTACTGCTTTTTTACGCTTCTTCATCTGTTTCATGTGTCATATTTCACTCTATCTCTCTTCCTATCCCTTCATGCGCTATGTGATCGATTTGTCGATCGATGTTTCCTCTTATTCCCCTCACGTTATGTAATACTAACAAGCCTTGTCTCACGATTCATATGTCCAGCATCCTCTCGCTTCCCGGATGGCAGTTAATCGAAGGGATCATCCATCGACACGTGCGTTGGCTACATTTTTTGATTTGACATTCATCGATTTTCTATTTTGCAACTAAATTGTCACGAGCTGTCAGTATCCCATCAGCTTTGAAGCTGAACAAATCTCGTTCAATAAAATATATAAAAATATATCAATCCAATACTTAACTGATTTGTGCTGAATTATAAATAAAAGACTATGAAATATTGAAATTTTTAAACATTCTTTTTTTTCTAGCTGTCATGATAAAAATTAAACTGATAACTTATTTATGGGTGAGATTAAATTATTGTCTTACATAAAATTATTGTGGAATACATAAACTACAATGTCAAAACAAGTTTGAAGAATTTGAAGTCATGAGCTGTTGTTGCGATATTTCTTCATTATCGTCAAAATTGTGATAACTTTCATATTATTAATTTAAAATTATAGTAAATAAAAATAACGTACATATGTTGAAGATTTATGTGAATAATAATGTGAATCTTCGAGGACATGAAGAAATAGGAATGTATACATTTTTTTTTCCAAAATCTCCATGTATATAAAATGATAAATACCAAGTAATTTTTCAGGAGAAAATGTGAAATATTCAAGATGCAAATGAAACGAGAGATAAATGATGGTGAGTTGAAAATATTAAATCTAAATCTAAATAAACCGTTTACTTAACGAAATAGAAAAAAAAAATTTTCAGTTTTGATAAAATTTTTTTTTTAAACTTTATTTATATGTTTTACTGCGAAAAAATTTATTACTACTCTCTAGGGAAAAATGCCGTGAAGTGCGTCAATTTTTTTTTGACTATAATTCATGGATTAACGTAAAAGTCGATCCTATGAAATATGCATTTTTCTTATCGCGTCTGTAAAACGAGATTTATCACGATAAAGTTGAATGGACAGAGACAAAAGTACAGTTAGTCGGGGTGTGATATCAGGTGATGTGAGTGAATTAGAGTAATTATTATTAGAACATTATTAAAACTATATAGAATTAAATCAAAGTGGAATTGAAAAAGTCGAGTCAACTTTTAATTAGTTACCATTTCTTTTATCGTCGAGAAACTAAGCTTGTGAATTTTTTAGAGAAATCACTTAAGAAGACCATTACATGCGTATTTGCCCTACGAGTAAGTATCCCAACAGGTAATTTATCTTTTTCCTTTCAACTTCTGTAGATGTTGATATATAAAGCCTTGATATTTCTTCGTATGTGTGGAGCAATCCCCATGTGATTCACGCAGTAATTCAATTTGATTTGCTCCCACGAAAAATCAGCGGTCTACGACCCTTTCATTTTGATCGTAAAATTATATTCACTTGATGATGCGTGGTGCATTTTACGAATTTGAGTTGCGGTAATACTCTGATGTATATGAATAAGCTACTCAATCGGTGGAGCTTTTATTAGGTTTGTCAAATATCAAAAAGCTTTCGTCAATTTTCCCAACATTTAGTCTTCATTTTCAAGCTAATAAAGATCCTTTTTGTTACAAATAATATTTTATTTACTCCAAATATCATATTTGTTTTTGTAAAGAGTAGAATGTTTCATGATATTTAATATTGTATCATATTAATTTGTAAACTTTTATTCATATACATATAACATTATTTTCGTTTTGTATCAAAAATACTAAAAATGTTTTTGCACTTATTATATCCATGGCATTTATTTTTATGCAGGTAATTCACATAAAAGTTTGATAAAGCATGTAATCTAAATGACAAAAAAACTGTTCTAAAATTGAAAAAAAGTACCTTTTCATTCACTAGGGGATTAAATCCATTCTATCAAAATATAAACCTATAAAGGCAGCATAACCAAAATAAAACAAATCAACGAATGACAAAAAATTCTCGACAGCTTATATGCATTGATCTATTCTGCTGGATGGTATTTAAAAAAATGAAAAAAGGTGTAGTTATATTTTAATTTTCATGCTTTTCCTATAAAACCAATACTCTAACAGATGTTCAGGAAATAATTACATTTTCCATTATCAAACGCTGATACTCATAACATTTATTTTCATTTTTATTAATAATAACTGCTACATTTTTACAGTTACGACAGACTTTACTGCTATTTTGTTGACTTTTTCAAAAATTGTTTTTATAAATTTATCTATTTATTTTTTTTTATAGCTCCAGAAGATCTCTAATGTGTGGGAGTTGTCGTAGAGGGCTGAGAGAGTGGACGTCGACCACAGTTTTCCTTGCGATCGGCCGTACACGGAGAGCTACGAAGGCCAACGAAGAGAGCCGAAATGACAAACCCTCCACGCACGGTATTTTATCCAGTTGTGCTCCGACCGTGTAGCTCTACACATCGTTAGTGTTTGTTTAAGATTTTTAAATCACAATTTATCTCGATATTTAAATCAAGACAATAAAGTTATTGCTGTAATTGACAAGCATTTTTATTGACCAACAGATAAGAACATACACTTGTTACACTATTCTTTTCACTTGGAATTTTATTTTTTAAATATACAAACACAAGTTGAACACGTGTATCTTTTGATAAACTTGATTTAATTATCTCAGTTTTAATTAAATTTATTTTAATATTTCATTTTATTTGTTTGTTTTATTTTTCCTCGAGTGGTTTTTAATTTTCGCGGTACTCAGTGATTAATTGTCGTTAATGGATGTTGAATTATGAGATCACCTTGATTGATCCAAAGTGTGGAGAACGATGATTATTTGGACGATGCATCGAGTTTTGTAGAATTTAGATAAATTCACACGTGAATAGAGTGCGTGTGTATTAAATATATTAAGTGGGTTTTATTGGAAGGGTGCGATTGGTCACGTGTCGGGTGAGAAGTATATTACGATGGAGACGAATGAAAATTGGCCAGGGAGGAAAAGCATCGAAGCGACGGTGCCGAAGAAGTTCCGGAAAGAGTCTAACCGGACGGAAACTATTGGACTCAATTGGGCGATGCTGTTTCTCTGTATAGGGAGTCTTGGAATTTCCGCTATTCTTGCTTATCGTGAGGTGCAACTTGAAGCACGATTGGCTAGTCTAGAAGCACGCTGCGATCATCAAGAAAACAGTGAGGTCATCGTCAAGAGGCTCCGACGAGAGGTTCAAGAGGCTTTCTTAGGACAGAAAATCCCGTATCCAGAGGGAGGCATCTTTAGAATCAAGAGGGATGTCACTGAATGCAATTGCCCACCCGGTAAGTTTTTTTTTATTGTTCTCTTTTTTTACAAGAAATTCCGCTGGATAAATTGATAAGAGAACATGTTGAAGAATGTCCTCGCAGGCCAAACGATGTTTATATGATATTGGAAAACTTTCGGGTACTTTAAATTTTTTTTTAACGATATCGAAGACCCTTTAGGGTGTTGAGGGGTTGGATCAGATCGTATATCTTCCAGGAATGGAATTGCAGGAAATTTCCTATCGTATCAAAATTACCCACCTACTTTATGACATTTTTTGTACGACATTAGATTCGGTGTTATGAGTTTTTTTTTGTCGGTTGATAAAAAACAAGACTGCATGACAAGGTTTTTATGACATTGATGATCTCATTTTAATTTGTTAACTCGTTGCTTTTGCTGAGTGGAATTATAATTGGAGTAAAAAATTTCTTTCACTTTGTAGAAAACATTAAAAGTATTCATTTTTTGAATGTTTCAACATTCATATGAATATTATAGTTTTTCATTTGAGTATTAAAATTTCTTTAGGACAGCATCTACATTAAAAGAGAAAATATTTCTTTGCAAGTATTTAAAAGTAAATCTTTCTTTTATTTTAATTTGATTTATTCTTTTCAGAATAAAGATAAATGATACTATATAAAAATTCTTTTTTATAATTAGTTAACCATTTTTTAAAAAAATTCTTATGTGTTGCGTTTTCTTTTTTACCTTCTCTCTTAATTGAAGATGCAAATTAATTGAAAAGTACCATTTCAAATAACTGTCATGAAAAAAGTTATGTAAATTCGTCACACAGTATATATAACATCACTTTCTATGCATTTTTCCTCGAAGACCATTTTTTATGCCTCATAAATTAATTAATCAATTTTCTTATGACTTTTATGAATTTCCTTTAGAATCCTCACTTTTATGCTCAAAAATAGACGACAAGTGTGGGAACATTTGGATATCATTAAATTCTAATTCAAACGTACATAAAATGTGTTGCGGTTAATAGTACCAAGAGGTGGCACGCATAGTTTGAAACTCGGTCAAGCCTATCATAGTCGACAACATTCCGTTGTATGAGATTAGTATATAATAGAAGGAATTAAATGATTAATGAACGAACGATGACGTGAAAACAAATCCGGATTTTTAATAGACTATATCAGTAACTGGTAGAATTTTTCAAAATTTATCAACAACATCATTTCAGATCATAATTTACAATGAAATAAACTTTGGCTTCTACACGAATAGTTTCTCCCTCTAAATTGGACGGAATGTTTTTTCTCTCTTCACTTAGGTTCGTCCCTCATAAAATGCAGAAATTAAATGAAATTCTATATTGAATATATACTCGCACTCATTTCCATTTTTCCGGAGGCACGGATTTATTAAAAAAATCCGGCGGATCGTAAAGCAAATATTTTCGAGTGAAGAAGTGCACTGAAAAAGTTGTAATTGGCAATGGTTGGTCAGTTACAAAAGGCTATTGGGATAGTGATCCAATTGAAATCGCATTTGATGCAACAAAATTCAGGTCTAGAATCGTATGAACATATATAACAAAAGAGTACTTTGCATCTGCTTTACAATACATATATCTAAATGTATGTTTATTTCGTTTTATCTCGAAGGCATTATGTCGGTTAGAAAAATACTAGAAAGAATATGTCGATAAATATGCTTCATTCAATTATAGTTTACAGATAAATGCAATTTTCTATTGAAAAGTTGATAAACTTTAGTATATTTCTTGCTTCTATACCACAAAACAATTATTTACATAGAAAGGTTTTTTTCACAAGCATGTTTGAAATAAAAATTATTCAAAACATTGTTAATTTAGACTTTAACTTGGAGTTTTGTTGAAGTTGAAGTGATTTGCAAGTTTTAATTGCAATTTTTATTCTCAATGAAACAGTTATTTTATCTACCAAAGTGAATTATCAACGAAAATGTGGTATGTCATGTACATACCACAAATGTTTATTTATACCACTCACTAACATCAATGGAATATTAAGAAAATAAATGAAACGTAATAGTTTATTACGAAAATGTGAATAGTCTTGATGGTGGTTAGAAAGTAAATAAAAGTTAATCAAAGAAAAGTTATAAGAATTTAGACAAGGTATAAAATTAAAATCAATATTATCAGAGAGAGAATATATTTTTCACTAGATGCTACCCAGGAATCTACGATAGTAAACAGTTAATTCAGATATCGCATTTCCAAATGGAAACGAGAACCGGTTGTAGTTAGTTTATTGGCCGTATGCTAAAATTTATTCAGTACTACTACAAATTTACAAATATACCAGGAGCTTGAGTACATATACAAATATGAGCATTTCCTAGATATTTCGTATTTAAAATATATATGTACACATACATCCCTATCAATTGATGACGAAGTGAGGTGACTTGTAAGTATCAATATTGAATATGATAGGAAAGTTATCAACGTAGAACTTTCATCTTTCTGTGTGTCGAAGCTCATCAATTAAACCCTCAAAATCCAAAGTTGACTCTGTGGCAACTTGCAAAACGAGGCTCTAGTGTGCTCGAGAGATTATTCAGAAACTCTCCAAACTAATCCTGCGCTTATTTTGAATACTGCACAGCTTTTATTTACTATTTTCAAATACTCAGCTCAACAAAACCTTTTTTCATTGTCATATTTTTCAATTCTCTCTGTAACCAGACCACTTGGCTGGCAGTGGCTTTGAGGCCAGGCCTTCAGTTAAGTTTATATAGGTCAAATCATCGAGTTGACTCTGATATACGGACTTTGTGCTTATCAACTGCACTATATAAGTCAGTTATGACCCATAGTGGTTGTTGTGAGGCGATTTCGGGTGAATGGAACTTAGCTAATTGTATTATGAACCAAAGGATATTCGACAAAGTTGGTTTCAAGCGAACCTTGTCGGTTGGGTCAAATGACGAGGACAGAAGTATGTGTTCAAAGCGTTTGCTAATCGATCAACATCACTTGACAATGCAATTGCTAGTAACTTGTAGGGTTATATGTGGTTTCTGCGGTTTTTCAATACACGCTTTAATGGAAACTGTGGTTGTCACTGTTTTTTAATTATTTCGGACGGTTTATTTTTTCAATGTCTCGCTGGATTTTTGTCACTCTTTCGTTTGACTAAGCTGATTAGTGTGTTCTGTTGATAGAAAAAATAGAAAAAATAAAAAATATACTGATTTATTGTTGATTTATTATTGCTATGAATTATTAAAAAAATTGTTTCTGTCAGATAGTATTGTTGTTTAAGCATTTATCTTAATATTTACACGTATGGAGCAGATTTTTTCCTAAACAAGAATGTTACTTTTGTCAGCTGTCACAAAAATATCTCTACTTTGATATAGAATACTCTTTTCCTGAAAAAATGTGTGCAATAACACTAACAAATATCATAATATTAATTTTTCTGCACTTGTCAACGTGACAAAGAATTTTTTTGTATGTTTATAAAAAAAATATCACGAAAGGTGTAAAACATTCTCTTCGAAAGAACAAACAAATCAATAAAACAAATAATCGATGTAACAAATACATTTTTATACAAAAATTAATTAAAGTTAAATTTATTATTAGATAAGTTGATTCTAGGTGAAGACTTTAGATCATAAAAACGTTGAGAATATTCAAGAGTTAATGAGGGTATTTTATTAAAATTTTAATTGATTGGTTGAAAGTTTAATAAAACTGAAAATTAGGATAACTTTCTTGTGTTCGTGTTGTAAAAAAAAATATCGATTGAAAATTGTAGGTTTTAATAAATTAAGTTGGACCTTATTAATATTTAATACGCAAATCAGGATAATTTTTTTCATGAGAAAACTTGGAAATTCATTAAATAAGTTTTTCCTTATTTTTCTCATTCACGACTATAAATTAGTCCTGAGTGACATTAAGTTTTTAGTGGGGAAAAAAAGAGTGGACAATTTTATTTGAGTATTGTTGGCAAAAGTCCAAGATAAAACTCGTTCGGTGCAGAAGCACGTGTGTGATGTTATACATCTGGTCGTAAAAGCAACGGAGCTAAATTAACTGTATTACGGTTGAGAAAACGAATTGGTCTCAGTATCAAGTGTCATATTCAGAAAAATTTAACGTCTTTATACAGAGCTCGGTCCATAAAAACCTCTAAAACAAAAAACTAAATCTCGCCGAAAAATCTCAAAATTTTAAGGAACATTTTTCCATAAATAACAACTGTAATTTCACTGCTGAATTGTTGATATGATGTGATACGAGCAACATACATAACACTTGTACTAATCCATGTCCTCGATGCTATCATATTCACAATAATGAATAAAAGTTGCCTGGAGATGAGATCATTATGTAGCTCTAAAACTAGTGTGTATGATGATATCACATAAATTTCCAATACTTTACACGCGGCTATGCTATCAAATGTATAGAGGTGTCTATAATCTCCCAGATGACTCGCTCGTAATTTCCGATTGCGATTAAAGCCATCGTCGAATGCACGTATTATCTGTCGAGACTGGATACCCATTATCATACTACGTGAAATCGGTTTACTTTTCACGAATCTATTGTTCCTGCTTTCAATGAATTCAGGCGTAACAAGATAGTAGTGAAAATGTAAACCAACACTCATACATTTACGTTTAAATATGTGCACTGATACATTATATTTTATGTATATACTATTATTTACATAATGATGATAACGACCATTGAGCAGTAAATTGAGATTTCAGCTAAAAATATCCTGAATTAAAAATCATTTTATCATGCCGGGGAAATTTTAATAGGCTTATAGAATCCACCTACTTAACTCACGATTCAGCGTCTGGTAATTAAATTAATTAGCTGAGTAAGACTCGAATGGTCACGTTGGAAATGTTCTTTAATCGAAGTTATTACTGGAAGAATTAGTTTATTTGTGTGGAGTGTTGAAGTTTAATACTAAAAATGAAATATCTCTTCTATTTAAGAATCAGCTTTATCATGATTATTATTAATTTA